CGCAATTTATGGAGATAAATGAAAAGACAACGTACTGCATGGAAGTGGTTGCCTCTGGCAAGCAGAAAGTAAGAATGGCATTCGTGAAGCAGGGGACTCCTGTTTCTCATCAAAGGCCCCACAGCAGCATTTGACTTTCTGAACTGTGCGTGTGGATTACTTGGATAAGGTAAACAATATATATATATCGAAGAAACTGAACAAAGGGCTTCTAGGTTCTTAAAGTTAAGGAAAATGTATCTTCCAAGAGATTTCCACGATGGCTATGAATATTGCAGCTCTGTTCTTTCTCTGGAGATTTTATGACTAAAAGCTTGTAATAATATACCACACAGAGCGTTCCACAAATTCTGGTAAAATAAAATGGAAAAACACTCTGTAAAATATGAGCACGTGTACTCATTATGATGCATACCGCCACACGTGGAAAACATACGTGTAAAGAATAAAGTAGTAGAGTCATCTATGATGTATCTAGTCCTAAGATTGCAATTACGAAAAACTAACATCACAGTTTGAAAATGATTTGCTTTCTGCTCTTCCCCACAGGAATTATTCTTGGGCTCTAGGCTGGCCTGTGACTGTCCTTGACCAGCAAGCAGTCTGCTTTTCGTTTACTTCTTTCATAGTTGCTCCATTGTTTTTTGTTTGTCAGACACAGGGATTGCAGTTGCCTTCCCAGCAATGTCACTGTTGTTCTGCTGGTTCAAGATAACTACCTCCTATCAAAGGATTCTTTCTAGACTTGCCTTTTAGCTCTTCTATTTGATCTCAAAAGCGGCTCTGTGTTATTTGTGCTAATGCTTTCTCCGCTGGAGCTGATAATCAACTGTAATCATATTTTGGACCCAAACTTTGATAATCGCCATCAAATGTTTTACTGAACTTCCTTATGTTTACGACACAGTGCTAATAATCAGCTAAAGTGTGTGTGTAAGAGAGAAAGAGAGAAGAGAGAGAGATCCGGCCCTTAAGAAACAATAGGATTAGGAAGAAAAAAACCAGCAGAAGTGACCAAAGTAGTTCTATTTCATAACAAAAACACATATTAAAAAATTGGAGAACATATATATTTCAAATAGCTAGAAGCGAGGATTTGAAATGTTCCCATTGAATAGAAATAATAAATACTCAGGCGGTTGTGGTGGTTCACGCCTGTAATCCCAGCACTATGGGAAGCTAAGACAGGAAGATCGCTTGAGTTCAGGAGTTGGAGACTAGCCAGGCCAACATAGCGAGACCTTGTCTCTACTGAAAATTAAAAAAAAAAAATTAGCCAGGTATGGTGGCGCACGCCTGTGGTCCCAGCTGTTCGGGGTATGAGATGGGAGGATGGCTTGAGCCCAGGTGTTCAAAGCTGCAGTGAGCTATGATAGTGCCACGATGCTCCGGTCTGGGCGGCAAAGCCAGACCCTGTCTCAGAAAAAGAAAAAAAGAAAGAAAGAATAAATACAATACCCTGACTTGATCATTAAATACCCTGACTTGGTCACTACATATTCTGAGCCCGTAACATAATGTCACATGTACCCCATAAATATGTGTAAATGTTATGTATTAGTTTTTTAAAAGTGAAACTGTTAAGAAGAAAATTAGAGACAATCCGGTTTAGTCCATGATGAATAGAAGTTCTAGAAGGAAAAAAAAAAAAAAAAAGTAAAGGGAATAAAGAAATAATATAAAAACATATCTCAGAGAAGATTCAAAAACTTATAATAGTAAAAAATGTTATTGACACTTTCATTGTCACTAATTTAGCTGAAGTTTTATAGGAATTAGAACATGGTCAAGGGGTGAGGAGAGAGACTGGAAAAGAGATTGAGTGTAGGAGACAGGTTTTAGGACTACTCACTAAAGCAGAAATTCACAACTAACATATGGCAGTGAATAGCCACCAATGACATTGCCTCAATCCAACTGGCAAATCAATTCAACTCAGAATTAAAAAAAAAAAAAAAAACGAATTAGAGAAGGGTAAACTTTTTTTAAATAGGGAGTTTCCCTTCCTTAAAAAAGTATTTTCCCACATGGTAGAATTAATACACATGTATGATAGAAAGTTTAGAAAATTCAGTTAAATATAAAGAGGAAAACAATAATCACTCATAATTTTTCCACCCAGAAAGAAATATCATTCCTAATATTTTAGTTATTCAGTATTTTTCCATACATATTAAAAGTCACAATTTGGACTGTAACATATAAACTGTTTTGTGATCTATTTTATTCATATTATAAGCATTTTCATATGATTAGTCATTCATTAATATCATGAATGTCATGTACATTATTTTTCCAAAATGCTTATTTTGGATCAAATTTTTCACTATCATAAGTAACACCATGAGCATACTGTTTGTTCAATCACCTGACGAAAAAGAATAATATGTAAATTTTGAGGAATGGAATTACCAGATAAAACACATTCAAAACTTTGAAATATTTTTTGTTTCTATTTTTGTTTCCTTCTTTTTTGAAATATCCAGGAAGTGAGTGCATTTCTATTCATTTCTGAGAGAGAGAGCATTTTGTACGAGTGCTCCAAATAAGTAAACATCTGTAGAAGACAATTTTCTTGAAATAAATGTGCGTAAAAGGCTTTGCTGCTCAAATCGTTCATTAAAACGAAGTGTTGATCATGGTCATTGTGATCAACAAAGAATAAAGAGTATTTTCTCTAGCAATAGCAGAAAACGAAACTGAACTAAACCTACGTATGATTATATTTTATACCGCACCTGTAATTCGTGTTAGTATTTGTGGAATGGACCCAAATATAATGTAATGAACTATTCTGAAAGCTATGTAAATACTGCTTCACAATCAGATAAAAACATGAAATAAATGGTATGTTTGCAGAAAGATATTCACATGTTTATATATGTATTTTAAAGCTCGTTTCAAACAGTGGTGAGTTAATATTTCATTAAAAAGCATGCTTTTACCTGATGAGTTTTTGAGAGGTTAAGAAGTGATTATTCTAATAAGGCCTCACAAAGGAATATTCCGTCCACCCTGAAAATACCTCGTGAGATGGAAGAAGAGAGGAGGAGCATACAGATTTAACCCAGAAAGTCATCACTTCGCTTCTTCACCCGACTGAGTTCTTTCAAAACATGACCTCTGCAGCTACCAGTGTCAGTGACTCATAGTTAGGCAAGCATAAGGACCTGAAAGAAGTCCCCTTAAAATTCATATTCCTGCAAAGACAGGAACTTTGTCCCAAGCTAGCACATTTCGAAAGACATTTAGTGGAGGTGAGGGTGGGTGCATCATTGCACCCACATGTCTGCAGAGCCTGTGAACTAAAATTAATTATTCATCTCTGGTCTGGCTTGAAGGAAATGCTTTACTGTAGTTAGTGTAAAAATAGCGAATGTATAGCACATTTATATTAACAACAGACCATCTGACAGCTTGTGATCTCATAAACCTTCTGACACGCCTGGGCTACCACAAACATCCATGTATATTGCCTATATTTTTGCCTGCTTCAGAACTTATTCTGGAAGTGTATAAAATGCTGTATTTCCCCAATGGTATATATGCTTAATGCAACCAAGACAATGCATCCAAATTCACATTTCAATGATATTTTTCTACCAGCTACTGATTGCAGTCGATGTAAATGAAGTTGTACTTTTATTTATCCAGACAGAATCTTTAGAGCTGGCTGGCATGTGCAGACAAGAAGCCACTGTGAGGTTTGAGGGTTGTAAGGCTGAGAAGGACAAGAATGAAGCCACATAGCTCAGGCCTGTCTCTGCAGGCCAGCACCACCTCCAGCCCTGCAGCTCCATCAAGCTTGAGGTTTCGGGGTGGGGTGGGGCACTCCAGGAGCTACAAGATGCAAACAACCAAGTGAGGCAAGATCTGCCTGTGTTATTTCCCAGTGCTTCTAAAGCACCCAATTGTGGACACATATCTGAGCACTAGTTAGAACCTGTTTAGACATGAGGGCCTCTAAAGCAAAGACTTTTCTGCAAATTCTCCAAGTAAAATGCCTATGTCTGCATCCGGGAAGAACTGAGGCCCAGCACAGAAACTGGCAGTAAGAGGATCTCTCTTGAATTCATCCATGTGGGGCAGGTGGAGTTGCTCTAATGGACATTTCCCCACTCTTTCCTTCAGGGTAGAAAAAGTGTTCCATTTAAGGAGCTTTGGCTGTTTGCCACTGGTCAGGATGAAGAGAGTGAAATGCTTGTCAATGACTACTCGCTTCCCAACTGGTTGCTGCCCATTTTTTACCATGCATACTGAGTGCCCGACTTCCCATGAAGGAGGACAGTGGGAAAGTGGAGACTTTATTTTAATACAGCATTAAGATATATTCACCATCAAATTTTCCGGAAATAGAGCTGAATGAATTGAGAGGTTTCATTGCACTCCCAAGTACGGGGATTGAACCAGCTTCTAACTGTTGCCAGTCTGGCAGCAAGTGTTTAAACATTATAAGGGCCTACAAAAATCTACCCTCCACTTCACTGTGAAAATACAGAAAGTTCTCCTATGTTTGAACATCCAGAAGCCAAATTTCCCATTATTCATAATTCAGTAAGACAGCTGAAGGCTGCTCAGGACCTTATAAAACTATTGTAGATAGCCCTGAATGTCCCCCACTTCCTACCACCCAGAGCCTAGGATTACGTGAGCTGGAAGAGAAGCCACAGAGGTAGTGCCACGTTTGGTGGGGTGACTTCTGTAACTTCCCTCCCTCGGAGTGAGAATTTTATGTAATTCTTATCTGCAGTTGGGAATAAAAGAAATTTGATGATCCCTAGGCATTGAAATACAAAAAAGTTTATCATGCCACCCTTTTCCATCTCTTAGGAGAAATGGAAAAAGAACCCTCCAAATCTGGCCACTGCCTACAGAAGTGTAAAGAGGTTTTCTGCAGGCAATCAGACCCCACTACAGCGGAAGCTTGCGGAGCGTCACACATTGACAGTCTGAAATGCACCACCAGAACTGCTGGAAGTGTGTCTCAGTTTCACACTTACCTGACCGTGGGATGGAAGTGCAGCGTAAGCCATGGGCTGATTCATCACTCCTTTGTGCTTCATGAGAAGCATGCGTTTCTGGTCTTCGCTCAGGTGTGCCCTGGGGGCCTGGAGCTGTGGAGGTGGTGCCGGCTGCTGTTGCTGCTGCTGCTGCTGCTGTTGCTGCTGCTGCTGCTGCTGCTGCTGCTGCTGCTGCTGCTGCTGCTGGATGTACGGCATCAAGGGGTTTTTGTTGGGGTTGGCCATTGGTGGTGTCATCCTCTGACTCAAGTCTGCATTGAAATGGGTCAGGGGTTTAGTGTTGCCATAAGTAAGAATATTGTGCTGTTTGTTTAAGGAGTTTGCACCCAAGTTATTTGGCTGCTGATTGATCATAGTCATGTGGTTCTGAGGGAGGTAGTTATTCATTGCTGTCTTCTGCAGGTTGTTTGCCATTGGAGGCACTATAGGGTTTTGGTTGTTAAAGGCTTGGGGGTACATCATTGGGCTATTTGGTTTTTCTGCAGTAAAAGCTGCCCCATATGGACTAGAGGGAGGGCCTAAGGGAGACCAATTTGAAGTCTGATTTGAGTGCTGCTGCTGCTGCTGCTGCTGCTGCTGCTGCTTCTGTTGCATGAGTTTGGCCCTTTGTTGCTGCTGTGCAGCCATCTGTTTGAGCTGCTCTGCTGGAGACATGTCGGAGTTGGGCACAGCCACAGGCCCTGGCGCTGAACCGGCCACTGTCACTGCTGCCGGATTCAGGAGATAACCATTTCCAGGCCGAGGTGGAGCTTGGCCTGGAGTGTGGGCTTGGTTTGGAGTTTGAGGGGACTGGACAGCACAATTTGCTGGTGAGCTGGTGGGGTTTGGAGCTGCGGGAGTGCTGGCAACAGAAGGTAAACTCGTGGCCGTGGAGACAGTAGAAAAGGGAGGACCAGAAGAAGAAGGCCTTGCCTGGGGAGATCCCATGGAGACATGTGCGAAGGGAGAGTGAGAGGGGTCGCTCTTCACGCTCGCACTCTCCTGGGAGAGAGGGGTCTCGGTTGCTGGCTGCGAGAATTCCGGCTCCTTCTTCTCTTCAAAGTCTTCGTTGAACAGGTCCTGTATGTCATCCTCAGGAACCGTGTTGGCCAATTCATCTATTAATTCTTGCCACTCCTGATCATTCAGATTAATGTCTGAGAACAACTTGTTCTGATTGGAAAGAGATGTTTCTGATGTGTCTATGCAAGTAGGGTCATCGAGAGGTTCTTGTTTGAGGTCTTTGCTCTGCAAGATGGTGAAGCTATCCTCCAGGTCACTGCAACCATTGACAGGAAGTTTAATCTCAGGGAGCCTCCCATTCTTACTTAGATCTTCTAGAAGCCCAGGAGTGTGAGTTCCACTGTTCTGCAAGGGCAAAGAAGGCTTCAGGTCAAGTTGGTGAAGAGGAGAAGCTGAAGGCAGTGGCATGTTATTGGGCAAATTGTTGATGGCTTCCATCCCCGCAGAAATGTCCTTTCGAATTCGTTTGCTAGTTGGAGAAAAATTCCCATCACAAGCACCATTCTGCTGGTCTCCATTAAGTGGTGATCGAGCTCCTTCCAACTTCCTTTTCACAGTCTCTTGTAGCTGGAAAAGAAACAGGAAAGAGGATGACTAAATCTCCAAGTCATATTTTACTCTTTAAGGATTGTGATGTGCATTGCTATGAACTAACTTTTAAGCGGTTTACGACACACAGGAAAGAAGTCATACTTACAATTTCGAAATCAGGCAACACTAACACTGCAGTTCAAAGTCTCTGGGAAAAGGTTTTATCTAAAAGCAGAACTCACAGGGCTAAGAGAAAACAAAAGATTGAAGGGTGGGAAACAGAAGAAAATGGATGCTTAAAGGCAATACTCCTGTCAACAGGGAAGAAAAATCTGTTACTATTTTCTTTCTTTTTTTGTTTTTGAGATGGAGTCTTGCTCTGTTGCCCAGGCTAGAGTGCAGTGGTGCTATTTTGGCTCACTGCGACCTCTGCTTCCCAGGTTCAAGCAATTCTCCTGCCTTAGCCTCCAGAGTAGCTAGGATTACAGACACATGCCACCATGCCTGGCTAATTTTTGTATTTTTAGTAGAGACAGGGTTTTACCATGTTGGCTAGGCTGGTCTCGAACTCCTGACCTCAAGTGATCAACCCGCCTCAGCCTTCCTAAGTGCTGGGATTACAGGTGTGAGCCACCATGAATGCTAGACATGAGACTTGGACCAAAATGTAACATACTTGAGAAAGACATTAGTAACTATCCTAAATTCTTGTCGCAACTTAAATGAGAACATCAAGGAATTAAATCAACATTTTAAAAAAATGCTAAATGATAAACTTCTAAGAATATGGAACTTAACACATGTACTAAATAGCATAGAATTGAAAATTAATGTTTAATGCAATCACAAACTTCCTGTAAATTCTTATGTGACCTCACCTTTCAGGACCTTTTGATTCAGTGGCTCACTCTTTTCTAAAAGCACGTTTCCACTGATTTCCACATTATACTCTTCTCAATTTCCTCCTTTTTCTCCACCAGCTCTTTCTCAATCACTTATGTAGTCTTTCTTTTTCCTAATGGATGGGATTCTTCAGTGTTTTGCCTTAAGCTGTTTTTCTCCTTCTGCTCACTCTACATTCTTGCTTAGGCAATTTCATCGATTACAAGAACTTCAGCTATCTTCTCTAGGTTGACACCCCTAATAAATGCTTATCTTTCCAGGCTCACAAAACTGGGCTACGTACATTGCTTTGGGGCCGTCAGTCTAGAGAAGATAGTTGAAGCAGGCTCATTGGATTTGGTGCTCAGCTCCACTCAATTCAATGTTCTTCTACTGAATATTTCATGGACATGCAAACCTCAACATGTCTCAACACTGAGCTTATTATCTTCGTTACCCAAACAAAATCCTCATCAGTGTTCCCCATCTCAGTATGTATCCATTTATTCAAGTCAGACACTTGAGCATTTTTCTAGAAACCTCTCATATCACCAATCACCAAGTCCTGTGGATTCCACCTCCAAAATATAACTCTAATGTGCCCCCTCACCTCCTTCCACTGTTCCTGTTACTATCCTTGGCTAGGATACCACTATGTCTTACTAGATTGTTGCAGCCATCTTCTAACTGGTCGTTTATGCTTTGCCTCCATTCATTTGCTCTTTTGTCTATGTTGGGGTTTTTTATTGTTGTTGTTGTTTTTGGGTTTTTTTTTTTTGAGACAGAGTCTTGCTCTTTTGCCAGGCTGGAGTGCAGTGGTGCAATCTCAGCCACTGCAACCTCTGCCTCCCAGGTTCAAGTGATCTTCCTGCCTCAGCCTCCTGAGTAGCTGGGACTACAGGCATGCGCCACTATGCCCAGCTAATGTTTGTATGTTTAGTAGAGACGGAGTTTCACCATGTTGGTCAGGATGGTCTTGATCTCTCGACCTCGTGATCTGCCCGCCTCGGCCTCCTAAAGTGCTGGGATTACAGGTGTGAGCCACCATGCTTGGCCCTTGTCTATGTTTGTATTCACTGTTTTGTGCTCCCTTAATCTACTCTTTATAATGCCACCTTTTCCAAAAGATAGAGTGCCTTTCTTGTCTATAACTCTGTAATGACTTCCACTGTCTTTAGGTTAAAGTCCAAACTGACTGTTGCCAAAACCACCTGCCTCCTGCTCATCTTTCCAGGCTCACCTTTTTGCCTCTCTATTCAGCATCTCCTCCCCTCTTCTCCCTTACTGTACATTTTCCATCAACTCCCTTGAAACTGTTTCAGTTCCTTAAAGGTGCTGATATTCTGGTTTCTCTTCAGAGCCTAGAATTCTTTCCCCTTTAAGGTGCTGATTCTCCTCCCGCCTCCAGGGCCTTGTCCATGTTGTTTTGTTTTCCTGGAACATCCTCCCCCTCCCTCTTTTCTTCCCCTGGTTAATAGCTGCTGTTTTTTTCAGGTCAGATCTTAGATTTCACTTACTCTAGGAAGTCTTCTCTTATACCTTCCCACCCCAGCGACGTTAGGTGCCTTCCTTGACCGACTACACTAGGTTGGATGTCCTGAAATAGGTCTTTCCAGGCAGTCTGTACTTCACTAGCATACCACAATCAAGAAATTGATGGCTATGTTACTTTTCATTAGAATATAAGTTACATGAAGGCAGGGATTCTTTATCATACTTTGGGGCAGTTGCTTAAGTGTCTGTGTGGTGAGCTCCAAGAAGGTTGGAACTGTGGCTGACGTGCTTACTGTGTATCCACAGGGCTGCACCCAGTCATCACGTTCATAGCAGTGGTTAATAAACAACTGCAAACTGAATGAACATCCTCTTGTCTAATTCGTAGGAGCTAAAAGAAGAGTTTGAATCTAAGCAGGAGGCTGCCCCATTGACCATAGGAATGCCTGCCTACATTCCTGTTCATGGGAATGACAGATCTCTTATCCTAGAGTATTATCCACTTAACTGGACTCATTTTAAAAGTCCAGTGAAGAAAAGCCTTGCTAACTCTATGGACTTATCAATTACAAACCTAACTCATCTGTCTGCTGCTTTCCTTTCTCCCAGAAAGGGCCAGTGCACGGGGCTGTGGTGGAAGAACTTGGCCTAGAGTAGCTACTGGGGAGATGCTTGCTGAGTGACAGAGCGGCGACTGGGCTGGGTTAAAAGGGGTTTCAGTAACTTTACACAGTTACAGGCAGAAGGCAGAATGACAGGGTAGGAGAGAGAAGGCACAGTGGTCTTTCCACTCAGGTACTCTCTTATTCTTGGCAAGGTGCTGTGTATTACAGAACCAATGCAAAAGAGGAGCAGGATTCCCTCTGCCCCGGACATCTGAACACTCACATGTGAAACTGCCAGGCTCCAGAGAGCCCCAAGGATAACAAAACCACGGTGGAGATGTGCTAAATTTCAAGAAATGTCTTTTTACTGCTAGGTGCTACTTTCTTAAGTAGATGATTATATTTGAAAAGTAAACAGAGTAGAAAGGGTCTTTGAGAAAAAATCCAGTCTAACCCTTGTTCCCAAATCTTGTATTTTTAATCGCAACATCAAACACAGCCCATAGTCATTGGGTGGACGCCCTCGAACTGCTGAACACAAGGCTCTTCCTAACTGAGATGCACTGGAATTTGACTAAAAAAAAAATACTGGCTCGACTCATCATATTACACAGAGACTGCTAGAAAATGATATTATTTATTGGACAAAGCAAGAAACCATGGTTTCGATCAGAAGTACGGAAGATACTTGAACATAACTCCAAACTTAGAATGGTCAAATATCACAGCGTCAGGGCCTAAAGGAAACAAGGCTTGGGGCTTTTGGTATCTCCTGGAGTGATGTTAACCTTCAAAGCATAAAGATTTGTCTTAACAATGAACTGACTCGATTTTAGAACGTCCAAGTCCATGACTCTGTTCCAGGTCATGTAATGAATGGAGCAGGACAGAGAAGTAAATGAAGCTGCTCTGTTTGTTTCTCTGTAAAATGGTGATGGTCAAGACCATAGAGCCAGGCAAGTCTGGCTGGGACCCCAAGTTTCACCTCTTACTGGCCAAGCGGGCAGCTGGGTGAGGCAGCACAGTGAGAATTCGAGAGACAGGAGCACTGGCTCTGGAGTTAGAATGCTTGAGTTCAAATCCAAGATCCCTACCTAAGAGCGAATACATATCAGTGTTGTCCGGTACTTCAGAAATGTTGGCTATGATACCTTTCATTAGAATATAAGTTACATGAAGGCAGGGATTCTTCCATTTTGTTTACTACTGGGTTTCCAGTAGTTCAGAGTAGACAATAAATACATGTTGAATAAATGAATCCTGGAAAACTTATGTAGCCTCTCCTAAGCCTTGGTGTCCTTATCTGCGAAGTGGGTCAATAATACGGAGCTCATAGAGTTACCATGAGTCAGAGGTTAAATGAAATCATGAAAGCACTTAGCCTCACACCTGATACCCAGTAAACACCCACTAAGGCTTAGCTTTACCATTTTCAAAATTCAGTGATACAAATAGTTACAACTGCCACTGAGAAGGAATGCTTCCTGGATCTTCAAAACACAAATAGGTAGAATATTTCTGTTCTCTAGCCAGCAAAACCCTAATGTTTCCCAAGCATCTGGTGTAGCTTTTTTAATATGAACAACAAAATCAGATTTGCAATTCAAGCCCAAGTCCAAGTGCTAATGCATGCATGTCCTAGATTGCAGAACAGCAGAGGCTAGATCGCTGAGGTTTGAATCAAATGCATTTTCAGCATGCCACCTGATTGGAGCCTCTGAGTGTTTCCTTTTCTCCAGGACCTAAAGTTCTCCACCACATGCTCCTTTAACCCAAATCTTGATTTATATGTTTCATGTATCTGCATTTTGGAATATAAGAAAGACACGATTGAAGATGCTGTGCTATGATATATGTTTTGTTAAGTCCAAAATAGCAGAGCAATCTTAGCATCCCTTCTGTCTGCCTCATCATCCTTTGTTATGTGGAAAGGTGGTCTGGGAGTCTAATTCTCTTTATGTTCCTCATGGGAGACAGAGGGAAATGGGGAGGGAGACACAGAACCAGCTATGTGGCTAAGAAGGCTAATTCACAAGTTCTCTGCTCAGAGAACAT